CATTCTGCGAAGGCCGGTGATGAAGACAAAATCATCATCTGAAATTTCCTATTTTGAAGTTGGTATTCATCACATCAGTTAGCGAACCATTGGAAACTCATCAGCACAGGACAGCTTTCCCGTCCGAGCATAAGGCTTCTTAGTAGTGGATCCCCATGACCTCACCACTGCTTACTACTGACTTGTTTCAGGATGAGATTCCCAAAGTTCTTATGAAGAGTCTTGACCGGTGTGGTTGACTAAGCAGAATATGAAGACAGTCATACAACAACAGCATTGGATGGAAGTTGAGCTATATCGTCAACTGACAAGGCTAGAAACATGAATCGCCGGATTCCAACCCGGTGACCCAATGATCACTTGCTGACCATAAAACGTGAAGGTCATGGGTTTGATCCCTGGTAGGGTTGTGGATGAGCACTATTCAGGAATTCCATACTAGGACGAAACAGCTGTACAGTGTTCCTAATTCTCCAGTGGTTCTCCAGCTGATGTCAGGCCACGATGAATATCAACCTGAAATCAATTAATTAATGCCCAAAATCCTTCAAATTCAATTTTCTTTCCTTTCATTTTAGTTTGCACATGAGATGCAACACACTTTCACAGAGTAGGTTGCACTCACTATTTAATTTCTATAGGCAGAGAATTTATCTCTGATTTTGGCATTGTAAATTTGTACTTGACATATTTAAACAACATTTTTGGAGCAGGGTTAATTTATTTGATGGTTTTCCATTTTCATCAATACATAAGTGTCTGCCAGGATAATGCATACTAAAGACCATATGGTAACTTCTGTTTGTTTATATATTTTATTTTGAAACCTAAGCATTGCATAAGTTAGGCATAACTATGTTCCTAGCATAATTTCCTCTGCTGGTACCTCATTTTGAAGTCTAAGTAAAGGGTCATTATTAAACTCACTTCTAGCTGCCTCCAGAACCATGTAAATGTGTACATTTTTGTACAGGCTAATAACATCAAATTTAATCATGTTTCGACTTTCTTTTCATTGTTTATCATCTAATTTTTACTTTGGGTTATAGGAACTAATACATTTAGATTTGCCCTAGCTTATAATTGAACCTAGTACAATTGCTAATTACTCAAATAACTCATAAGTTGGATTGTTTCTAAAATCTACTATTAGTCTGATAAAATAGCCTAGGTTATGAACTCTAGTAGTGTAAATGGGCGTTGCTGATAACAACGGATATAAGTAGTATATATCGAGAAGGTGGCAGGAATCATAGGGAATTACCGGCAATGGATAAGGTTTCTGCCAAGAGCAACGCAGGGGACAACACAGGCGTACTACAGGGGATGCTGCTGATAAGAGTGTACGAAGAGCCGGTCAAGAGCAAATCAAAACAGGAACAGCGAGGAAACGAAGTCATTTGCGAATGGCTGCGTTAGTGTAAGGAGTACCATATTTAACCACTACCATTCCAGTGGCTCGTAATAAACATTCTCTCGTCGAGGATTTCCCGTCACCACGTTCCGCCCCGTCATGTGCCGCCTTCGCTCTGCCCCGCCGCAACGTCCCCAGCACCACGACCTTCGCCTACGGATCCCGAATCCACACCAGCTCCGGTACCGCCTCAAAGTCCATGAGGTAGACCTTGATGTCGCCACCCTCGAACTCTGCAGGCCATCGGATTTTCATCCCGTCTATAAGCAGCGACACTAGTTGGAGAAACAGAGGGCAACTCGACGAGAGAATGTTTATTACGAACCATTGGAATGGTAGTGGTTAAATATGGTACTCCTTACACTAACGCAGCCATTCGCAAATAACTTCGTTTCCTCGCTGTTCCTGTTTTGATTTGCTCTTGACCGGCTCTTCGTACACTCTTATCAGCAGCATCCCCTGTAGTACGCCTGTGTTTTCCCCTGCGTTGCTCTTGGCAGAAACCTTATCCATTGCCGGTAATTCCCTATGATTCCTGCCACCTTCTCGATATATACTACTTATATCCGTTGTTATCAGCAACGCCCACTACAGTAGTACCAGGAATTTGATTAAGATCATTAACTTCCAGCATTAAATCTAACCACTTTGACTTGCCAAGGAATGAATTCCTTAACCGTATCATATTCACTGTAGATTTCTTAAACTTACTGTTAACTGGTCTCTCAGTTTTATCACACTATCCTGTCTACATATACTCGTTAACACTGTGAGTGTAATCACAGTGGTTCAATACCACGGTTCAGCTGCTTCTATCTAATTAGAAGTATAACTGTATTCTTATAATTTGAAGGTGTCAATGTACATTGGGTATGTATGTTATCAACTATTTTGTCTACTAGAGTCTCTATTTTAGAAGTGACAGTTTAAGATTTCAGCTTCTCAGCTGCTGCGCTGAAATTAGCAATATCTCAACCAGGGTTTTAAACTCAACAAAAAATGGCTTTGTAGGTTTAAAGACCATGATAAGAGAGAGACAGGGATGGTAATTTAGTTTACAGAATTCCCTGTGATGTTTGCAAGGTTAAATAAACAGATCAGAGTAGTAGACCGGGGACTGACTGGATTGGCCGAGCACAAAATCTAAGCTACATGACAGTTGGTAGGCCTCTGTATGATAAGAAATTTAGAGAATATCTTGGTTAAATTTATGCATGTGTTTACACACCACCCGAAAATGGGATGGGAATTAGTGATAGTTCTGAAAACGAAGTTGAGGGGAGGAAGAGGTTGATAACCGAACATTTTTGTATCAAACTAACACTGAATACGCACGATACGAATGATCGAGCACTTATTCTAGGTATCTGGAAAATTCCAGTACTCTTATCATAGAAGAGTAAATATGAGTGAGACTATGGACGAGTTGTGGACAATAAATTGTGTCCGAAACGCCATACAGTATTTGGTATTGTTTCACTGTGTGATGCATCTGATAAACCAACTAAAATAAAATTACAATCTACGTGAAACTCAAGTTTAACTATTATAATGAATTTCTGGTTTCCATAATCTCATCCCTTTGATATTATTCAATGATGATAGCTGACTTCAGATAAATGGGCACATGATAAACAGCACTTTTAATGAAGTTACAGCTAACGCGTTACGGGTGCCGTCGTAACTTCTCAGTCTTTGAGTGTTTAGATGAAACATTTAGGATACCTAGGTAAAGTCAAATCTGAAAAATTGTGTACAAACAGTTATTTCTAGCTTCAAAAATGATTCAAACACGTTGAAATGCCTACAAATAATAGTGTCCAAGTTGGTAACTGGACTTTTCCACCTTCCATTAGTTCATCATAAGGAAAGAGGTGATCTTGTTTTTGATCCATCGTATCTTAAATAATGTTATGAATACTCAACTCTCTTATCTTTTCACTTCTTCTAGAACTGATTATCTTAGAGGTCACTATAAAAAGGTTCATAAACTGCGATCGAATTAATTCTGAGTGGAAATCATATTCTCTCACAAGGGGATTAAAGAGTGGAACGTGTTATCAGAATCACTGGTAGCATCTTACTCAGTGAATACCTTCAAGAAGAAACTGCGTCTTTTTGGAGATTTCCACTTCAAGGATTTACATAGATTGTTGATCTACTACCCTAATTATTGAAGAGATAATGGGTGACTCTCTGCAAAACTGAACAAATTATACGTACAGTTATGCAGAGACAACTACTACGATGTGTTTTTGTCAGTTATAGCAGTCACGGATCAATCAAGTTGTATAGTTGAAGATCAAGGTTAATGACTTAAAGCTACTTTACTGCATGCTGAATACTATCCAAATAAAATATTATAAGCGGTAAAAACACACTCGAAAATAGTGAACTCTAAGATAGATAATCAGTGCTCAGCAAAGAGACTATTTTTCTCTCTTCCTTAATGCAATTTTCAGTAGCCTTTTCAGTACTGGGGTGCCGTTTAGTTGGTTTTTTTAAAATCACATAAAGCAGTCTAAACACTTCATACATTTCATCTTTTTATCTTCACCTTCATTGAGTTTGGAGATAGTTTACTTCCTACACCACTGTGATCTAGTTTGTGAAAACTGCTGACTCATATGCTATAGTTTCTAAAACGTTTGCATTTCACTGGTATGTTGCATTAACTTTATTCGATGTCTTGGCTTTAACAACCGACATTCCAAACAATGTAATGCCCGGAAAGTCTTCATTAAATATTTCATTTTGTCGAGCTGCTCTTCAGTCAGTTCGCCTTTCCGATCTACATAACTCAGTTAGTCAAAGCAATCCTACTGACTGAGTTGGTAAGCTGACAGTCATGAATTCAACCGGAAACTGATAGATTATTAGTCAAAACTAACCAACAAAAGGGACAGTCAAAGGTGTTCATCATTATGTATGCGCAATTTTAGGAATATAACGTTCAGATTTAATTTTATAACGAATTAAAACTAGGTGGAACATCTTTGGAAATAGTGAAAATCAGTTTATCCTATATTATTACTATTTATCAACTGAAATAAATTTCACACAGTAATGTTATATCATATTATTATTTGCCCCTTGGGTTCCTAGTGGAACATATGGCTTCAGTAGCACGTCTTCATTCCACTCTGTTCTCTGCAATCGTTTGAACCTGGCTTCACGACTTCCCAGAAGCTCTCATTTCTTTCTCACACCATCTCCTCCATGTCACCTTCACCTCAGACGCCCAACTCGCCGTTCCCCATCTGGGTTCCACGGGGAGTGCGTGGTGCGTAATATCCCCCAATGGTCTTCTGAGTGCATGCCTAATCCATCTCTACTTCCTTCTGCATATTTGTTGAGCGATAGGTTCTTGGCTGGTTGGTTGCACACAGTAATGTAAATCTTACGTTATTTCTGTAATGTGATCGCTCTAATTTATTGATTTTATATGACTTGAATTTATTGATTCAAAAATGATTCTGAACCAGGTTCATCAAGTTCTAAACTATGTTTTTCATTCCTTTTCTGTGAAGGCCTCACCATTTTTATCCTTCTTTTTCATAATTTTGTGGAAAAAAAGAAAAATCAGATGACTTCACAACCAAGACGTTATCCACTTTTAGGTGAAGATGATCGTATGATGTTAAAATTGATAGAGCATTCACAATTCAGTCAGAACAAGAAATATGGGACATTGGTTATCCTTTGAAGTTAAGAACAATTGTACCTTTGCGTAAAAGCAATTTAGTAGAGGAATAGCAGCTGGACATTATCCATTTCTGCAGGATCATGCAGGTAGTCCAACTCCAATTAGACTTATATGGAAAACAGAATTACAAAACATTGATTTCGGTCTGTTATTACCAGAATTAATTGAAGGTCTTACTGATGTAGACCAAACTGTGGTTAATGTAGCTAAGGTAGCAATCACTGACATATTGAAACATGGACCATTAGATAAACTGATTGATACTCTACCAGTATTGACTGAAGCAATACGTAAAGTACTTACTATGAGTAAGTAAGGTTTTCGCTGTGTTCAGATTTCTCCTCTTCAATTAAACTGAACTCATCCACAATTAAATAGTTGATTTAACTGAATGTACTGGATGATTTTAAAATTCTGTACATAACCGCCTTTTTAATGCAGTTGAGTTGTGCAAACTTATGTTTTTTACTATCGATAAAGTGACGTCATTGTTGAACAACGTTAAGTCGGGAACGTAACGGATGACAATTCATTCCGGTTGCTTAAATAAGTGTGATGAGGGCACTTTGAAACCAAATGACTCTGTCAAAAACTATGTGTAACAACACACTCATGTATTAGTGCTAATAATGACCATAAGCTATAATGATATAAGTGTAGTGGGTACATAGATTAATCTCTCTGAAATCTGCCTCCTTAGTTTGAATACTGAAGTTAAGAGGAGTAACTATGAAACCACTTTGATTAAACATAAAGTTGGAAAGTCTACAAGTTACGTTTGGAGAACAAAAGTGTCAATTACATCTTAATAGGAAAAACAGAAATAAGGCAAATTCAGAACTATAGCCAATCTGTTCGGAGTAAGAGTATCCGCTTTGGTCAACCTTCGAAATAACCATACCTTAATCAGTCCTATTATCATTCTCAATGCTGTTAATAAGACTGCAGTCTCCAATATTCCATTTTTCACCTAATCACTGTTGAGGTATGTAGCTAGAAAGTACAGTTATGTGTGACCTTACTTTAAGCTGATAATATTAGTTATTTTTCAGTGAAATACGACTTTTGCGAAATATAAGCAACCAAATGACAGATTAAGTAAGCTCCTGTCCTCACAAATCACCTATTCATTTGTAGAATTCTAATTTCTTTTTGGTAAAAACTAATTTCTTTAGTTTAGTTATGTAGACTGTCTCTGGGATAAGATATCAAATCAAGTCCAATAAGTTCTGGAAAGATAAATATTAACGAGTTGACAGTTTCACCATCTACTGACCCAAACTAAATATCTTGCCCTACATGACACCTTGCTAATCTTTTATGAAGGAATAATGTATTTCAGCACCAGTTTGCTCAAAAATCAACTTATACAACCTGATGAGAAATAATAAACATTTTAAAAATGATTCGTGCTGAATAACATTTACCGAATATATACATTGATATCTTGAGGAAATTATTATAAGACTTATGGTTTAAACATCATTCAAAGAGTAATAATGATGGATGGTGGTTAGTGGTTGAATCTAGGACTCCTGTTTTCATCCTATTTGGGACTTGTCAGCTGGATGGGTGTACCTGCCTCCCAGCAGCGATGTTTTTCCCACTAGGATTCGAACTCTGGACTGGTTACTTCAAATGCCAGAGCGTTATCCACTAAATTACCGCGTCACAACAGTCACTTCTTGTGCGACGGGTATTGTTTTAATTTTGTTGCTAGGGGGTAACTCACTGGTATTTGAAGCAACTGGTCCCAAGTTCGAGTCCTAGTAAGAACACCACTGACTCGGAGGCAGGTACATCCAGCTGACGAGTCCTAAACACGACGAAATGCACCTCCTAGATTCCACTGTCAGCCACTATCCATCATTATTGTATAACTCAAACACAGGCAATATCGAGACATTCACGTTGGAGCCCATATGCCAGTAGAGACCGATCCATTCCCTACGCTCAACGATGGGATAATACAGGAAAAAACATTGTTCAAAAAGGTTTCTTCGTAAATATTTTATTTTTTGAGGTTCAAATTAGAAAGAGTCTCTGTCTGGGCAAGATATGGTGTACACCTTTTATATGACCAACTTCCCTTCAGTTACCTATATCATTTTACGGAAAACCTAAAGCATTATTCAGCATGTGTTCCGTTTAGGTTCGATGGATAAAGACTCAGTAATCAATCTCTCTTTCCACCTAATCATATTGGACTTAAGTACAATGGTTTTGTCCCAACCTATTGTGTGGTTATGTGCTAATGCATACATTGCAACAGATGACTGTTTTTCTAGGTTACTGATCTTATTGAGGTCTATCATTCTGTATTTAGCTGAATTCCTATGTTCCACTAGTCTAACTGACCCTTTATTAATATAAGTGCAGAACATGGGCATGGGTAGGATGTAATTTTATATAAGATTTGTTTCTTTGATATACAGAGCACAGTGATACAGTATAACTTATTATATGCTATATATAGAATAAACAAATCTGATATCGAATAACTGACCCTTTGTTCATCTTATCTACACCCTGCACATGTAATAGAAATGATGCAGCACTTACACTAGAGATAGTGAAAACTTTACCACCAGTGAAAACAAAGAATATCTGGTGACAGGACCATAAAGATCAGATATCGAAAGTAGTGTGATTACACTGATATGATTGTGAGCAATAACTTATGCTCAAACATCATCATCAAGTAATACTGCATCACTGTGTTATAAATCAAATAAACAAATTTAATATGGGCTTAAATTCTACCGCAGTGCCCAAGTTTTACACTTGTATTAATAGTTGGATGTGTTTTGGTATGAAATATGTAGTGTGTTTGATAATCTTCGTCTCGATCTTATCTGGGATGGTAGGGCTCACTGTTAAAAGTTCCCAACTCACGGCGAAACAGCAATTCAAGGCTGATTAGGAAACACTAGGAATGCAACTGAATTGAAGTTGGTCAGTTGTTTTAAAGTTACCTAGCATAAATTCACTAGGCTTAAACACCAGATAATTTCATTTTTAATTTATTTTTTTCGTTTATGTTCAAAATAACAGAAAATGTGGAAGCAGAGCGCCGAGTGTTAGTCGTCCTGAAGCATGTAAGTTTAATTCAACCGGGGATTGGACCAGATATGTCATTTTATCTACGCAACATCTTCCAACATTTAAACTATTACTTTGAGCATCATAAAAACTATAATCATCAGATTGTTTATAATCTAAATTTATCGGACGACATATGATTTAATTGATGAAGTTGTTATGTGTTTATTGCAAATATCTGGTAATGAATTTGAAACAGCTCAAAAAATATATAATTAGCTCTACCAACATCTCAGGTCAATCGGCAAATAGTATAAATAAAAAGCACAATAGTAGTTGTATTCTGTTTTTATTTGTTTATGGAGTAAGCTGCTTTATTTCCTTGCTAAAAGCTTATGCAGTGCAGCAAAAATGATGGCATCGAGAGTCATCAATGTTTTTAACTTAATTCTTTTTAGTTTCTGAAATAAAATACTGATTAAGTCAACAACCATGCGTTACTATCCGACTGTATCTTGAGAACGTAGAAGACTGTAAACACACCACAGAATATGTTATCAGTACTTCGTGCTCCTTGATAAACTGCACAACTAATAATAAGTTACAATCTGTTAGGTACTTGAAGCTGCTTGGGAGTCAAAAGAATCACTTCAGTGCAAATCACTGTGTTGTAACAAGTTTTCTGAAACATCACGAGGTTCTAAAATCCCAACGGTCACTCACGTTCTCATCAACAGACTATTTGAATGGAGGTAAATTTTACATATTAGGATCAAGCTATTTCACTTCAGAGTTTAGTATACAATAAGCGGAATCAGAACGGCGATATTCTTTAACTTTGTCGTTGCTTCAGTTCGTCTTTCAGTTAACCTATTTCGGAAATGCTTCGTCTATCAAACACCAACTAATTCAAGCGAAAATAATAACATTTCAGCTTTGAAACTATCAGCAATAATTTGATTGAATCTAGTATTATAACAAGATTGGTTCAGATTAACATACGAACACGTAGAATTATCTGTCTGCCTAATAAATGTGCCACCTTGTTATATTTGTTCTGCTGTAATTAACTTATTGTCTTTAGAAAAGCCTACGATTTTTATTAGTAATGAAAATACTTTTATGGGGTATAGGCAAACCGAGTTAGTGAACTGTTAATACAGCTTGAGTAGCATTTGATAGAATTAGGTATCTGGAGTCTTCAGACTCCGATGTAAAGATGATATGATTAGGTGAACCTACCATGGTTTCCTTTTATGGACAGTATATCGACACGATGATATGTGACTTTTTCAACTTCCTTCATAACCTCAAAATGGTTAGAGTGAAAATTTCATCAGTAGTTGTAAAACACTCACATGTATCAGTGGTGCTGATTTGATCGACCGAATTGAATGGTGGTCATTTTAATCGATAAGTGACGACTTCGTTAGCAATGTGCAAGGATTGATTTTGTTAAGTGTTCACAGAATAGTGTTGAGTGATCTCAATAGTCTAAATTTATTCATTGCAAACAGTAGAAAATTCTATAAAATGTAACTCTCACAGTAGACCAAAATACTAGCTATACAAGCAATAGTTTTTTACTCTAAACGTAGTCCAGTACATAAAACTGTATCAGTGTGTTCTATATGAAAACAACAACTCTAATGTTAAGTAATTCTTCTTCTTCTTCTACTTCTGTTATACAGCTCTTAACTAAATTATCATTTATACCACAAACTTAAGAAATGCTGATTAGAAAACCGTTTCTGCGTTAACTGGCCATTAAGTAGTAATTAGGGGTAAGCTGAAGTTTCAGGTACTAACTTAAGGCTATTTATCATCATTTTAACTGAAGTTTACACGAAACGAAAAGAGGAATGTTCACTTGACAGCATTTAATTCTGGAAAATTTGGTTTATTTTCTCTGTCCTTCGTTCTATATGTGTTGGATTATATGGTTTATTTTGAGTTGCGAAACTGTGAATCACATGTAGTTCTACATGAATGCATTCAACAAGAATATCTGCATAGTCGATGACAGGATAATCGAAAAGCTTACCGATCACACACTACTTCATCAGGACAGGCTGCTGATTTATCGATATAGAAATCCTGGCAGCTTCATACTGAAGTCATGCAGAGAGACAGTAAAACCAACTCCGATGACGCCACACCACGAAGACAAAACATATGAACTAAAAACATTCTCCATCCTTTCAGTGCTTTGGTGTATTCATTATTATATTATTCCTAGTACTTAGCTGTTATCTGTTGTTCTGATTGCATCTGAATTTCACAGAGACGATAGAAATTGGTAAATATCCTCAGTCTTAGAATCACTCATCCATTGTTAAAGAGTCGGACCTGATCTATCTTCTCTTTTCCTTCCCACTAAGTCGGAACACCTCAAAGGACATAATAGGAGGCTACAAAGGCTAAGAACAAACATAATATCTGCAGAGTACTGGTTCTTACGTCGAGTAATCAACGCCTGGAACCTACTCCCAGAAGAAGTGGTGTCCGCATCATCAATTGACTCGTTCAGAAGGGGATTGGACAAGTACGGAAATCTACTGGAAAAGGATTACTGTAGGCTCCCAGCCTCCTATCTTCAAACAACAAGTCTGAAAAAAACTTGCAAGGTGATAACTCTATGATCTTAATCAGTTGACACTGAGGAAGTTAACTTAACGCAAACACTAAATAATCATTAAATATGATGGATCCATCCAATAAACTTTCATCCTTTCTATTGAGATAAAGTTTGCTTATATGAAAACATTTGAGAATCAAAAACTGCAATTTTAGCAAGATAAATTCACCAAGGCTAAGTGGGATGAGAGGTTTGTTGGGCGTAATGCAAATATTGGTGATGGCAGCAAATTGCCGCAGTATGACACACACTCCGTCATCCGAGTAACTCAAGTTTGAATTCTGAAAAATTATTGCGATTAGACTAATGTAATTCCAAATACAAACCTTTCATCAATCTCCCTTCTTAGTTTGATTCCAACACAACTGAAGACATTGCCACTTTTATTGCAGAGGTTCTAAATAGTTTCAGTTCTAGTATTGATAACAGATCAGCAGGCTGAAAAATTCTGAAGACGGTAAAGTGGAAATTACTTGTTTTAAACTTAATGAGAATGTTTTGGATTAAGATTCTATTTACAATGCGTTTCTCCTGGACAATGAACATATTTTGTATCACAAATTCTTCCATGAAAAATAGAAATGAAGGTAAATGCTTGTTGTTTGTTGTTTTATATGTGCCGCATTCAAATCCGACGCACTTAAAATGTCTAAAAGGTATCAAATGATTTTAATTCTCCAAAGGTGTTGGACTTTTCAAGGAGCTTGGCTTCCATTTAAGATCATCCTCCAAGGAATATAGCTTTGTTTGAGTTCGTGGCATTTTGCATCATTACCTTTCAATTAATGGCATACTTCTTTGCATAGGATGCTTTATTTTCTTCCGTCGAATTTTGTGTTGATTTTTGGTAAAACTTTTCATCTACCACCGTAAGACAGTAATTTAATTTTTCCATTTCAAATATTAATTAAAATATTTACATTTCATGTGTTGGATTGTGACAGAATTAGTAATGACAACATTTTCTTGTTTCACGGATTTTCAAACCAAGCATGTTTGAACCCCTAGCACAAACAAAAAGAATTAAAATCCATCAGCTCCTGTAGAAGTGAACAACCGACAAGTTCATTCCACAATATTCTCTATTCTGAGCTGACCATTGAGGTGGACTGCGTACTCCTTGAAATTATAAGCATATACGAAGCATATTAAACATCTGTCAAAGTACTTTAAGTTAGATTAGCTGACAATCATATATATATATATATATATATATATATATATATATATATATATATATATTAAATTTTGTTTTAACGAGCATGCATCCGAGCAGGCTTGGACGCCATTTTTGCGCTCCATTGTGCTGATCACCACGCACGTACTCCGAGTCCCTAGTTCAGCCTTACAAGCCAGATAAGTTGATTAAACTTTTCCCTCATTCATTATTATTACATTTACCTTAAATACATAGCTCCTTTAAATACATTGCGTATCAGTTCTTTTGATTTGTGTTTTGTTATCAGTACTTACACGTTAGGTAAAGTACTGGTTAAGCAGGTACTAGAGCACATCAAATTAAGTAGGGTTGATCAAACGTTACGGAATTGTAACACGCATCCCTACAAAATTGGTGAGCCCGAGTATCACTTCTTACTTTGTCTAGTACCTTTGTTCTCTTGCGTTGATTTGTCTGGCCTATTTTGTTTTTGGCACGGTCTAGCGTTTTTTTTTATTATTGCACTCCTCATTGGTTATTTTTGCATTGTAATTTTTTTTATTATCACTATCGTGCCTCGTTAATTCCCTGATCAATGGCGGATAACGACTCGACTGCGCAGATGGCCGTAACCCTCCAGCTTCCCACCTTCTGGGCCCACAGACCATCTGCATGGTTCTCCCATGTGGAAGCTCAGTTTGCCTTGAGACACATTCAATCACAAGAAACTAAGTCCAACTTAGTCATCGTCAGCTTACCGGAAAATGTGATCGAAGACGTCTCAGATGTGCTAGATGACCCAGCACCGAATCTTTACGATCGCCTCAAAACCGCCCTCATCAAACGTGTTGCACTTACTGACCAGCAGAAAGTGCAAGAACTTTTCAGGGATGTGCATCTGGGTGATCGCAAGCCGACGCAACTGCTTCGTCAGATGAAGCAGCTGATTGCTGACTTCAACATTGATGAAGCATTTCTCAAGCAACTGTGGTTACAGAGGTTACCACAGTCGGTTCAAGGGATCCTCGCACCCTTCCATAAGTGTCCCTTAATAGAGTTGGCGGAAGCGGCTGACAGAGCTGTGGATGCTACGAAACCCAACACTAGTATCTCAGCTGCACTGTCTACTGCCACGGATTCGTCCAAAAACCCACATCCTCCCTCGGCTGGTGAGCCAACAAGTTTCGATGTTATAGCTCACATCTCGAAATTGTATGAGAGTTGTGCAGCATCAGGAACGAAATGCGGTCTGGTAGTTCTTCCAACGGTCGCACGTCTCGCTCGCGCAACAGGTCTGCCTCCCGTACCGGTAGCAGACGTTCCAAATCGCGACAATCCCAACCCAGGTTGTGCTGGTACCATAAACGTTATGGTGCCAATGCCAAAAGGTGCACTCGACCTTGCACCTTCGAGGCTAACCAGGCGGGAAACGTGTGAGCCAGCACGTGACGGCGACTAACGTCGCTGGCGAGCCACTTCCATGTCGCCTCTTCTTCGTC